AATATATGACAGGTCATTGACTGAAATGTTTATTGAACTGATTACAGTTTTATGTACTCATAGATTAATTCAGTAAATAACTTTATGGTTTAATTCCAACTGGCTTAACTTAAAACCTTGCTGACATTTTAATTTAATCTAACTTTGGGTCCAGAGATGTAGCATATTGGTAGGGTTCCTGGGGCAAGTTATATTCCATGAATGTCTGAGTATATCAAAATAAACCCCACTATTATGTATAATCATGATCCATTAATAAAAACATTTTAAAAGAAAAAAAAAATAAACACCATTTACAATGCCCTAAAATATTGAGTAACTACTTAGTAAGTAATAGGTTCCACCTTATAGTGGCAAAGAAAACAGAAGCACTGACCTGATGAAACAATCATTAAGAAAGATCTAAATACACTGGGAAGTAGAGGAATGGAGGACATTCAGCCAATCATATTAACAACTCTTTTTATTAGGAAACTGTTATGGTTGGATCTGGAATGCCCCCCACAAAGCTCAAGTGTTAAGCAGTGCAACAGTGTTTAGAGGTGAAATGATTGGTTCATAAGGACTGTCATCTCACCAGTGTATTAACCATTTGATGAAATAATAATTTGAATGGACTTACGGGGAAGTAGTGAAAACAATAGGCAGATGAGATATGGCAGGAGGAAGTAGGTCACTAGGGGTATGGCCTTGGAACTATTTCTGTTCCTGGTGCCTTGTCTCTCTCAGCTTCCCAGTGGCCATGAGGTGGGCAACTTTCTTCTTCCACACCCTTCTGAAACTGTACTCCCTCGGAGCCAGCTGACCATAGACTAAATCCTCTGGAACTGTGAATCAAAATAAACTTTTCCTTCTCTAAGTTGTTCTTGTCAAGTATTTTGGTCACAGAGAAGCAAAGCTGACTAACACAGAAACCTATTCTTCCATTGTCTGAGAAGGACCCACCAAGCAATCTAATTCCATAAACTGGATCAGCACAACCAGAATGCCTAATGCTACTATAATAGTGCTTTGTACAATGCCTGCAGTGAGAGATTAAGTGATTTTAATCCACATTTGAGGTTTTATTATCTAATGAACCAGTTCTCTTGCCCAAAGAATTGGAGGCTGGGAGGTCCTGTCTAAAAGGTGTCAACTGCCCATTCCTCTTTGCATTTGCACCAATTGGTAGGACCTGAGAACATACAAAATTTCCATAGGCCTGTAATAGTGGAGCCATCACTAATCCAATAGGCCTGACCCAGAATCCTCTTTTGTGCTTTTCCAAGGGTGTGAATCAAGAGCCGATTAATTAAAACCAGAGTATAATCACGATTTTAAGTAAAATAATTCAAATTCTTCAGGAAAAGCAAAACAAATCCTTAAGCACTCATTTATAAACAGAATTTTTATTCTTGCCTGCTTGATTCATTAAGGCAATCCTTCAGTGGCCTCTACGAATTGTGTTCAATGACGAGTTTTGGGTTCTTATTCTGATTCCTTGAGCATAATGATGCCCAAGTGTTGTGGTCAGCCTGCTGCCACACTCTACCTTTTTAAGATATCAGATGTCAAAGCATATCACACCCAAACCGGAGACCACAAGGAATTTTGATGGCTGTTGCTCACATGAAAACCAATAGGGATTCTCTGACTAAGGGTTGGGACGCATAGGGTACTCCAATGTCTCTAGAAGAGAGAAAGAAGGAAATCAAAGGTCAAGGCTGTACCTATTCCCAACTTCCTCATGACATTTCTGAGTTGTACCAAGGCAGAATGAGTTCTGGAGTGGTGAAGAAAGGAGAGGGGCAGGGAAGGTGACTTTGCATGTGAGGATATAGCAGAAGCAAGGACAGGGGTTTTTGCTAGTCTGTCACCTTCCCTCTGTGGGAGCACATGGAATGGATGCCAGTTTTCATTCTGACAGCTACTGAAATATTTTGCCAAATATCATTGTGCTGGGGTGAATTAATTCCATTTCTGTGCAATAAACAGAAAATAGAAACTTTCTATCTAAAAAAAAAAATAGACATGCTAACAAGTGAAATAACAATGTGATCAATACAAACATAGACTTATATATGAGTATCTGAGCAAAATAACATCCTGTCTGAGGCACCACAGAAAGGCAGTGTTCCATCAGGGTTATGGCAGAAGCTGGAAATTTGCCAGATAGACAAGGGAAAGGGGGGAAGTGCAAACTAAGGGCTAGATTGGGTGAAGAAAGGGAGGCATGAAACAGTAAGCGTCTGCGAGACTCCGTGAATGGATTGGGACTGCTGGACACAAAAGGTCAGAGAAAGCGGCAGATGAGGTCACTGAGAAGCAGGCAGGGGCCAGCGTGTGGAAGATCTCATAGCTGTGCTGAAGTGCCTGGGCTTCTTCCAGTAACCTAAAAAGACTTCTTGAAAGGTTCTAAGTGATGAAGGGACAAGGTAAGATTCTCCTTTTCAAAGAAGGTTTCTGATAAAATGGCTGGGGAAGTGCTGGGGACACATTAGGAGCAAGTCAGCCGGGAAGCTCCCAAGAGCATCCCTCTCACACAAGCACTTAAACACCACTGGACATATAATAAGGGTGGAGGCAAGGAAGCACATTGGCTGAGGTGAGGGATTTGTTATCAAAACACAAATCAGATCCCCTCAGTCATTCTCCTGCTTCCCTTCCTTCCTCGGTGCATGCCCTTCCAGGATGCCCCTTCCTCTGCCTTCTCTCACTCTGCATCCTTCACCAGCAATATTCTCTCCATCTTCTCTCCACACCAGCCTACTGTTCAGAGTCCAGCTCACTCTGCCTCCCTTTGAGGCCCTCATATGATTACAACTCCCAGTGGTCTCTTCTCATAATAAATAAATCAAAATCAGAATGCATTTTCTTTGAATCCCTGAAGTATCACACATACGCAGCATGCTTGTGTGTGTGCGCACATACGTACACACTCATACAGCATGCAGTATCCTGATGATGAATTACCAGAAACCTGGGGCCATCCTTGTTTCGTGTCCTTTATTTCCCCCAACATATTCACTAATCACACAGCTTGAGCAGGCCTTCTCTGAAATATCTCTTGAATTTGACTATTTATATCCTGCATCCTCCTACATCAGCCATCTTTCCTTGATTGAAAGTGACCCCCCTAATTAATCTTGCCCAGATCTCCCATTCCCATATATTATCCACAAGATAATAAAAGTGGTCTTAATAAAACACCACCTTTTTTTTTTTTTTTGTAGCAGGAATGAGCTAAGGGGCACTCAACCCCAGCCCTTTTTATTTTTTGAGACAAGTTCTTACTAGGTTGCTTAGCACCTGTTAAATTGCTAAGGCTGGCTTTGAACTTGCAATCCTCCTGCCTCAGCCCCACAGGCTACTGGGATTACAGGTGTGTGCCACCATGCCTGGCATAAAATGCCACTCTGCATGAAACATGTCAGCACCGCCCCCCCTAATGATATGGGTCTTGATTTCTTTATATGGTACAATGTTCTATAAAATCGGATCCATGATTATCACTAGTCCAGTTTCATTTCTATTTCCCTGCATCACATTCACCTACAAAACTTTATAAATTCTGCATGACGTGCCTGAATACTCTTCTACCCGCCCTTTGGCTAGCTAACTTTTATATATTCTCCCTATCTCAGTTTAGATACTTACTCTTTTTCTGGGACTTTCTAATACCAAAATTGATATTTTTCCTGTGTGATACCAGATCTTCCTAAGCTATCATCACTTTTTAGAGCTTGGGTTTCTAGTTGACAACAATGAAACTAAATCCAATTATTTAAGCAGTGCAGAAATACTTTAAATATCAGGCAGCTGAATAAAGGAGTTTGGAAGCTACCTCTCCAGTGTTAATGCCACAGGTTTCACTATGGAGTGGTTTCAGTAGAGACACCTGGACTTAATGGATGACCAGAAGTACCACTGAAGCTGGATGCCGGGTGCTGGCACTGGGACCTCTCCCCCTGCCTCAGATGGATGGGGCCCAGTTCCCAGGACCATGCCCTGGCTGTAGGCAAGCTGAGAAACCAAGATCCTGTTATCTATCTTGGGGAGGGCTCAGATTAATTGTTATACCATTTTTCTGGAGAACAGCTGTAGTGTTGGTAGTCATAACCATTTATTAAATGTAAAATCATTCATTTCTCAAAAAGTCTTAAAGTTGCAGATAGTTTTTATCTTGACAATTTTCCAGAGACTCCTGTGGACATCACGTCTGTGCCTAATAATAACAGGGGCTTAATATGAGAATGGAAATGTGAATGAAATAGTTCTATATACTCTCTGAGCACAGAAAACACACCAACAGACAGGAAGCTAGGATGAAGAACAGGCAAACTTCAGTAAGGACATGAAGAATTTTACCCTCAGTGAAAGGACATAGGCAGAGTCCTCAGCCTCATTGGAAAATTTTAAGCACTGAAAGGTACCAATAAAGTAGCCAGAGAGGGTTCGAGTTGTTACAATGTGCTTCCATAACGCTCCATACTTCTCCACTCCTAGTACTACCCAAACTTTATTAACTGGTTTATTAGTTCCCTGTTACTCTTACAGAGTTTTCAGATCTATGGAGAGAGGGACAGTACCAATATCCATCCAGTCTGCAGGTGACGTGTTATGGATTTTTTTAAATAAATGAGTGAATAAATAAATGAAGGAGGTAAAGATGAAGGCACAGAAGTGGTAGAGGGTGTGGGCATCAGAGAAGGGTGCCAGGTTCCAGTGGGGTGACTCAGATCAGCTCAGGTCCCATGCTGGCCACTCCCACACAGTTCCTTTCTTTCCAATCCACTTCTCATTCTCCTTGGGAAGGATCGAGGACTCTGGAAAACAGCCAAGAAACTGTTATGGGAACAGCAAGCCCAAATAATGCTCAGGCATCAGGAGGATCTGAGCACTGAAAGCCACTTCTGTTCCCCCTCCTTCAGCGGAGGGGCGAAGAAGGGTTCCCAAAGCCATAACTCCTTTTAGGGGGATTTAGAGGCATACAAAAGCCCCTGGCTGAGGACTTGCTCCCTCATTCCTCAGTCGGTGCCAGAACTCTTGATCCCGCACTGGGAGAAAATGTCTATCCAGTAAGTATCTTGGGAGTTTTTTTTTTTTTTAATACCTTAGCAATGGCATTATATGGTGATGAAGAGCTTGTAACAAGATGACACTGGTTCGTGACCTGTTTAAAGAAAACCCTTGGGTCATGATGCAGGAATTTTTCTGTATCAAAGTAAATATACAGGATTTTGGTGAGGTTTGTGTGGCAGACCGGGGCTTGGAAGCACTATAAGCATGAGGATTTCAGGCAGACTTGGGTTCCACTTCTTTTAGAGTCATTTACTAGCTGTGTGTCTGTGGGCAAATCACTTAACATTTTAAAGTTTAAACTACTTAACTTATTAAAGGTTTTCTATATGTGAAATGAGTATAACAATAATACTTACCTCATTGTGTTATGAATGAGCTAGGACCATACAAAGTTCTTCTTATGATATGTGGTACAAAGTAAATGCTTATTTAAAAAGTGGTTCTAATTAGGAAGTCTGATGAGAGCTCCCACTCCAAGAAATCATAACATGGAGGCAAACATAGGCTGTAGGAATCAAGCAAAAATACAGAATCATTTGATCTGACTAGTTCTAGAAAAATACTATAGATCTCGAGGATTGGTAAAGAATTAGAAGATGAGAAGAAATGATAGTATAATATGGATAAAGGAAAGAGGATGAGGTATCTGACCTTAAATGCTGTTGTCTCCCAATCTGTAGGAGCCAGAGGAACGAGTCTCCCCATGAGGCCAGAAAGTCAATGATCCATTCAGCAGAGAGTGTCAATAGGGCAGGGTAATTCTTTTCTTTTTTTTTTTTTATTCTTTTTAGTTATACATATAATCAATTAGTTATACAGTATAATCAATTTTGATGTAATTATAAAAACATGGAATATATCTTATTCTAATTAGGACCTCATTCTTGTAGATAAACATGATGGTGGAGTATTCATGCATACATAGAAAAATTATGTCAGATTCATTTCACTATCTTTTCTTTTCCTATACTCCCTTCCTTCCCTTCATTCCCCTTTGTCTATCTAATCTACTGAATTTCTGTTCTTTTCCTTCCCCAACCCATTGTGAGTTAGCTTCCACATATCAGAGAAAACATTTGACCTTGGCTTTTGGGGACTGGCTTATTTCACATAGCATTATAGTCTCCAGATCTATTTATTTACTGATAAATGTCATAATTTAATTCTTCTTTATGGCTGAGTAATATGGAATATTGTGTATATATATACCACATTTTCTCTATCCATTTTATCTGTTGAAGGGCACATAGGTTGGTTCATTAGCTTGGCTATTGTAGATTGAGCTGCTGTAAACACTGATGTAGCTGTGTCACTCTAGTATACTGATTTTAAATCCTTTGGGTATATACCGAGTGCGATAGCTGGATAAAATAGTGGTTTCATTGTTACAAGTTTTTTGAGGAATTTCCATACTACTTTCCAGAAAGGTTGCATCAATTTGCATTCCTACCAGCAATGTATGAATGTAATTTTCCCACATACTCACCAAATTTATTGTTACTGCATTCTTGATATTTAAGGCAGGGCAATTCTTAAGAAAGGTTTTGTATAGGATCAAAGTTCAGGAAGATAAGTGATACAGCAGATTTGTTGATTTGTCTTCAGAAATATAGGAAAACTGCAGATGACAGAATTGAGTCCCCTGTGACCAACTGACTTGAAAGGAGGAGCACTGAGCAGGGCCCCCCTTCTCTCCCTGAGTATGTCTCTCTCTCCACAAGCCCCAAGTGCTCCTTGCCAGATTGGCAGTAGCACATTGGCATGGAGCTGAGGCGCCTTCTCTCTTGGAGTGTTGCCTCTGTCTCCCTGGACTCTCTTCTTGAAGTATCAATATGAGCTTCTTCCTCATTGTTCTACCATTTCAGAGTGGAACACCCGGCTGGTGGCTACAAGAAGCTATTTGAAACTGTGGAGGAACTGTCCTCACCGCTCACAGCTCACGTGACAGGTTGGTAACTACTGTGAAGCCATGGTGTTTGCTGTGAGGTGTCTCTTCTCTGGCTTCCTATTCATTGGCACTGTCAGAACTGGCTTCCTCTCTGGGCTACAGGAAAGGAAAGCTGGAGGTTTAGGGTTTGTTTGTTTTTTTTTTTCCCAAGAACACATTTCCTCTCATTTACCCTTACTTTACTTCTCTGATATAGAGAAGTACTACCTAACTGGAATTCCTTGAGAACCTGGACTACACCTCTCTCATCTTCAAGTCGACAGAGCCCATCTCAGTGCCTGGCACATAGTAATCCCCTATAAATAAAGTCTCTTGCTGGAGGGTTTGTGTGAGTGAGGGCCTTGTGACAAATGTCTGGGAATATTACATTAAAGGATAGTGGGTTTCATGCCAATTTGGTTCGTTTGGGGACAGGCAGGTATAGGTATAGTCACAGCTCTATTATTTCACCATCTGTAAATCCTAAAAAAATTACCTAAAACTTCTGAATCTCCCTCACCTACCAAAATCCAAAAATTCCTTCATGGGGATGTTGGGATTAAATGAGGTAATATAAATAGAATGACTAACCCAAATCAGATACAAAGTGATCAATAGGTGGTAGTTATTTTCACTATCACCATCTTTGTCCAAAGACTCCATGTGATCCATATAGTCTCCTTGCTCAGTATTTTACAGGAAGGGTCAATGCCTGGGCAAAGCTCTTTCCTCCTCTTTAGAACAGATGAGGCAAATGATCTTTCTCCACTTGATTCTGATGCTAACGATCTAGGCATTAGTAATCAAAACTTAGTATCATGCTTTTAAGTAATCCATGCCTTCTTTTCAAGTTTTAATCCCATATCAGGTAAACTGCTGAGACTGATATATAGGGAATAATCTATTTGTTTAAAAAAAAATCCTAGTGGAAATTGAGCAAACACTGTACTTTTAAAAGGGTAATAGGACATAAACCTCACTGTGCAAGCAGAAAGTCCTTAAGGGCTATTATAGAAACCCTTCATTTTGCAGAAAAGGAAACTGGGGCCAGTGAAGGCATGCAGCACATCCTGCACCAAAATCCAGGTCCTGACACTCAGCCCTATGCAATTTCTGCCACAGCAGGTCAACTTTCATCTGGACAGCAGTTCATACCCTCAACAGGATGGAATCCTACATTAAAACAAACAAACAAACAAAAAAACAGTATCCCTATTGTTTCATTTAGATATTTCTTCTGTACACACACCTTTCTTAATGACCTGATCCCAACTCCTAATCCATTCTGTTATCCTTTAATCTGCCCCCATGCATTAAGAAATTTGTGTTAAAAGTAAGAGGGCAGAAAAGTAAACAGACTGGTACCTGGGGGAGTTTTTTAAGTGGAGAATCCCATTCACCTCAAGATGCTTTCCCTTCACTCCTTCTAGCCTCTTCTCCTAACTCTGGGGCATTGACAAGTTTTCCACCACCATGTCTCCTAGCAAAAGGGAGATTCCAGTCAGCAGACACCTTCTAAGTGTTATCTGGCACGAGGGCTAGGAGGGAAAGTCACTGCCAACTTCGTCCAGCAGAGGCTGTCCAATCAGGCTGCTAGTGCCATTACTCCAATTTAGAAGGGTCAAACCCAGCCCCAGGGCAGGAACAGGAAGCTAAGTTCTGTGTTTCACTTCATTACAGGCAGGATCCCTGTCTGGCTCACCGGCAGTCTCCTTCGATGTGGGCCAGGACTCTTTGAAGTTGGATCTGAGCCATTTTACCACCTGTTTGACGGGCAAGCCCTCCTGCACAAGTTTGACTTTAAAGAAGGACATGTCACATACCACAGAAGGTAAGAGAGAACAGGGTCCCAGCCTTTTCCTAGCAGTGGGACCTCAGTCACGTGCCTTTTAACCTTCTGAACCAGTAGGGGACCTCTATACCCACTTACTTCTCAGAATCTACCTAGATCAGGTGTCTACAGAGACACCTGGGACTACCATGAGATAATGAAGAAGTTAGGAACTAGAGGTCTGGGATGGTACACACCCGCCTTCAAGTCCTGTACCTACCAGGCACCACTTGCCTTGATAGGTGACCTCTAGCAAGATGTTGACCCTAATTCTCGGTTTTTTCATCTATAAAATGAGGAAAATAATACCATCTACTTGACAGGTTCATTACAAGGATTAAAGGAGTCCTTTGTGACCCCCCCCCACTCCTGTTTCTAGGAAGCACACGGTCAACACAAAAGTCACTGTGATGGTTATTATTATTATTATTGGGCCATTAGTTATGTTGATTCCTTTCCTGTTATAATCAGAAAGTACTAGAGTGACACAAAGGAGGGAAGGACCAAAGATTTCATCAGGGGCCCAGGAAGAGTAGTTTTTTTAAAAACATGAAGTTATTGCTAAAAGGCTTGAAAGTCTAAGCCAGCATTCCAGCAAGTCCCCCTGGCACAACAAGAAACACCTTGTCCTGTTTAATTATTCAGGCCTCTTAGTGACTTTATCGATCACCACAGATTTCAGGCATTTTGAAGAAACATCAAAAGGAAGCGTAACTAGAGACTTGAATTAGTCAGGATACCTTGGACAGTATTAGAAAAGAAACAGTTTATACCAAGCAAAACTTTAGCTATGAGAGCAAATTCTGGAGTTGAAATAAAGCTTTCATATGCCTTCTAAAGACCTCATTCCTCTTTACAAAAGTGCAAAAATCAGATTTTAATTGGCTCTTCACATGAGAAATCCTAGGCAACCCTTGCCAGCTAGCCTTGGATATGGTTCAGCAGATCCGCCTGCTCATTGAATTCAAGAATACCTACGTTCAAAAGTACCACAAAATAAATTCTAAAATTGAATAAAAACACAGGAAGGATAGGTCCGTTGATAGGTTACAGGCTACGGGAAGCCAGAGTACTATGTGAATTTCCCATGGGGTCAAAGGATGTGAGATGGAAAGCCCACTTTGTCCAACTCTGACCAACTAGAGTTGTAACCTAGCTAGGTCACATATACCAATCACTTAACTTCTCTGAACCTCAATTTCCTCATCTGTCATTGTAAAGTTTAAAAGACTAAATTTAACCTCAGGGCATGATATTATCTCTTTCCCTGGGGTCACTCCAAGACAGAGAACTGACAATACTCTTCATTCTTCATGTGATGGCTTTACCATTCTGAATTGATGAAGGCACACTGAATGACCATTCTAAGTGGCACTTGGACTGTGTTGATCCTCTCCTTGTCTCCATGTTCTCCAGGTTCATCCGCACTGATGCCTACGTACGTGCAATGACTGAGAAAAGGATCGTCATAACAGAGTTTGGCACCTGTGCTTTCCCAGACCCCTGCAAGAATATATTCTCCAGGTCTCTGAGACTGCATGTTATTAAAAACATTTTACATCAGCCCTTTTTCTCTTACGACTTGAAAGTTGTTGAACTGAATAATTCATTTGTTTCTGCAGGTTTTTTTCCTACTTTAGAGGAGTGGAGGTTACCGACAATGCCCTTGTAAATGTCTACCCTGTGGGGGAAGATTACTATGCCTGCACAGAGACCAACTTTATTACAAAGATTAATCCAGAGACCTTAGAGACAATTAAGCAGGTAGGACATAGTGCTCAGGTATGTTGCTCAGGAGTTTAGAATGTGGAACTTGGAATTAAATCAACTGTGCAATTTGATGGAAAGAACATGAGAGCGAGATCAAATTTCAAATCCTTGCTTTGTCACCAACTACCAGCTATGTGATATAGGACACACTTTGTTTCTTCCTCTGCAATATTTTAAACATTTATATGGATTGGAGGAAAATCATATAAAATGCCTAATATATTCATTCATTTTTTTTTCATTTGTATACAAATATTCATTAAGGGCTCTCCTTGTGCCAGAACTTTTGCCACATACAAGAGATATATCAATGTGTATACCAACATGATTCCTGAACTTCAAGGCTTTTACAGGCTATCATGGAACTTGAACCTACTGGGTGTTCAAAAATTTATAGCTATTAATATTGAAACCTTACTTTCTGTGGTTCTAGAAAAATAGGTTGCACTAATTTGCTTCTTATTGTAGACATTTCTTATTAAAAATAATGCTGTATCTTAAATACCATAGATATATCTCAGTCATATTAGAAGGTAACATTTTTTTCTGAGAATTTGGGCAATTTCAATGCAATATTCCTTAAAACAGACTCACAATTTCAACCAATATTTATTGACACCAACTTGCCAAGCAGCATTCTTGCCCTGAGGAAGCTTAACATCTAGATGAGGAAATCAAGCAAGAATACAAATTATAATAGACATCAAATGTGATGAGTCCTTTAAGAAAAGAAAAACTTTGTAAGAATGAACAGATAAGAAATTATTTCTGGCAGTAGTTGAGGATCCGAGCAAGGACAGATCAAGCAGGGGTCAAAGAATTTGCATTTGAGCTACAATCTAAAGGCAAGTACAGGTCCTGTGAATTTAGAGAAAGGACAATCTGGATGGAATTGTAACATGAGGGAAGGCACAGAGGTGGGAAAATAAGGGACATGTCCAAAAGTAATCTCTTTGGGCTAGAATTGCAGTGTTTCTCAGTGGGGGCACTAGCAGCACTGGGCAGGAGGTGACTCATCCTGTAGGGGCTCTCCTATGCATCATAGGGGTTTGGTGTCCCCGACCTATCCACTAAATGCCAGTCATGTCCTCAATCACTGCTCAAACCCAAAATGCCTGTGACATTTCTAGATCTCCCAGTAGGGGGCAACAACACTCCCATACCAGAGCTACTCATCTAGAATATGTAACGTCAAGGAGAACAGGATAGGGTGAAACTAAAAGCTTGAATAACACACTAAAAAATTGGAATCAGTTGCTTAGCTAATGAAAAACTACTGAAAGTCTTAACTCAAAGAAGTGGCATAAATAGAGCTGTACTTTAGGATGTTTAATTGAGAAGCTACATGTGGGCTGAATGGGAGAGTAAAAGAAATACGTATACCAGCTAGGAGATCAGTAATGGAATTCAAGACTACAGATAACAATAAAGTTCTCTGTATTTCAGAAAGCTAGGAGAAAGGATTTAGAATACCTTCACATAAAGAAATGATAGATGTTAGAGGAGATAGATATGTTTAAACTGATTTAAACATTAGACATTATATACACATATTGTAATATCACATGGCACCCCACTAATATGTACAATTTTTATGCTTTTATATATCTGCTAAAAGTAAATTTAATAATTGAAAATATCAGAGCTACAAATGCAGTGGTAACAGAAAGGAAAAAATAGCCCCAACACTGAGTCTCAATATCACATACTGATCTATAATTCTTGACAGACATACTTACTGCAACTTGACATATATTCCCAAAGCTACCGGGAGTATAAAGAGCTCTTTCCTGTTGATTCGTGTATAACCCTGTTCAAGTTTGTGTGGATCATTTAGAAAAGAAGTGAAGTTGAGTTTCTAAAAGATGAATTTGCTCTGAAATGAATCCATATTCCCATTACATAGTACTTTAATTGGAAATGTAGAAGCAAAGATATGTCTCCAGAAAACTTTGTTATAGGTCCCATTGTGCATACCACTGTACCCTGGCTTCACATAAAAACATAATTTGAAAATTTTTATTTATTATAACTGACATAACCTCCCAACTAGTCAGTACTTTTGCCTCCAGCTGATGTCCTTAAGTATAATTTCCTTACTGCAGCAGAAGCCTTTGCTCTGAAATGCAAACATTCATGTGTTACTCAATCTAGGGCCCCCATGGTTTCAGAGGAAAAGTCCAAATGAGGAGGTGCTGGCCACTCTCACCTCTCCTCTTCCGTTCACTCCTTCACACCAGCCATGCTGCATAACCTGGTAATGCCCAGAGAGCATATGCATTTCACAATTCTATGCCTTCACATTAGGATTCTTGCTTCCTAACACATACATCTTACTTTGCCTGGTTAACTTCTACTCACCATCAAGAATTAACTGGGGGCTAATAGGAAGCTTGGGAAGCTGCCTAATCCCCCAGTCTGGGTTACATAGCATTTCTCTGCAGGTACTGTGTCTCACTCACTGTCCTTTATGAAAGCTTATTGGTCTAATGCAGTGCTGTCCAACAGAACTTTCTATAATGATGGAAATGTTCTCTGATCACATTTTCCAATGCTAATGAACACTTTAAGTGTGGCTAATGTGACTGAGGAGCTAAATTTGAAATTTTATCTAATTATAATTTACATTTAAATTGCTACACATAACTACTGGCTATCATATTGACAGGATAGGTCTAGACCAAAGTTCTTAAAAGTAAGGATCTTCTGTTTTCCTAGATCCTGGCACAGTGCCTGGCATGCTAGATAAATCCCAAAGTTCCTTTCAGTTCCAAATACATATGTTGAACACACTGGGCTTGGTATTTAGGTTGTCCCATGCCAAACTGTAATTTTTCTTATGAAAAATTATCAAACAGCAATAATTTTACACAATTCAATATAGTACAATTAAAGACATATAAAGAAGTCACAGGCCTCAAGTTTATCATTGTTAAAGATCAAGGTGTAGTTGCAAAAAGAAACTCACAAGAGCACTGTATGGTCTACATCAAGGAATGAACACAGTCATAGAACTCCAGATTTCAGAGTCCATGTGGGGGTCAGAGGAGAGTTTTGCACTAATGGTGGGACTTCAGGCAAAGCTGAAAGAGGGTTGGATCCAGAAAGATGAAAAGAAAGACAAAGTGCACTTATATCAAGGGTGCAAGGGGTTAATGATGGGATGAGACCTAGGGACAAAGGTGTGATCCTCTTTCTCTTAACATGAATGGTGTTTTTTTCTCCTTCCCATAGGTTGACCTTTGCAACTATGTCTCAGTCAACGGAGCCACTGCTCACCCCCACATTGAAAGTGATGGAACTGTTTACAACATTGGTAATTGCTTTGGGAAAAACTTTTCAATTGCCTACAATATTGTAAAGATTCCTCCACTGCAAGCAGGTGAGTTTATCAGTTTTTCTTTTTCTGAAAATATGTATCTACATTGTGGAAAAAACTACTGGAAATATGGGATGTTAAATTTCTCTCAAACTAAAAAATTGCTCTCATCCCTATATATCAGGATACTAATGCTCAAAGGTACTACAGCAAGAGGTGACAACTTGAAATCGCAGAAAGCAAGTGGTCGAGTTCTCTTCCATGGTGTTTCATCATCTAGTGTACATGTGGATTTATCATATACAATTTAGATTCAAATTCAGCAAACATGTATTGAGCAATTATTCATGGGCCAAGCAAATTTTAAATTAAATAAACATATATGTGTGTGTGTGTGTGTGTGTGTGTGTGTGTATATATATATATATATATATATATATATATATATATACTATTTTGTGTTTAATTCCCCAAACTAAAAACAAGTCTAGAAAAAGATTTAAAGTAGGACACTCAAAAATTCTCCATTCAACTTCCATTCATTATCAGGTCCAATGACAATCCTCTCAATGATAGACTTGGATTCATGTAAAATTTTGTTTGGTATGTCTTAGTATGGTTCTTAAAGTGGAGGTTACAGACCAGCAGCATCAACTGGAAATTTGCTAGAAATAGAAATCTTAAGCCCCACTTCAAGCAGATTGAATAAGACATTTTTGGAGAAGGACCTGCAGTCAGAATTTCAGGAAGTCATTTATGTGCTTTTCTGATGCACGTTAAGGTTTGAAGACCACTAACTTGGTAGTAAATGAACTTTAATGTGCATAAGAATTATATAGGATTGTGGACATAAACCCATCTACGTTGTAATTTAGGCATCTTAAGATGTCATAAAAGGCGTTTTGACCATACCAAAATTTTGCCTCTGACTTAAAACCCACCTCCATTTGTCATGGAATGTGACTCCATAACACTCTTCCACAGACATACTGGAGTGTACTTTTCCAAATCTGCTGCTATTTGGATTTTCCTGGGTGATTGCAGCTTCATGTGAAATTTCCTAAGAGATGACAATGACTGAGAAAAACCTCTGAATTCAATATCTGAAAATGTATTTCTTTGCTTGTATAAGCTGTTCTAAATGCTTTGTATTTTTTTTTAAATAAGAGGCTCTTCCAAAGCCTTTTAAAACCACTTTATTTCAGACAAGGAAGATCCAATAAGCAAGTCAGAGATCGTTGTACAATTCCCCTGCAGTGACCGATTCAAGCCATCTTACGTCCATAGGTAACTTGAAGGCCTGCCATGAATCTTCAGGAAAACTCAAGTTTAAAGATCTACTTTGCCTACCTTTGATACCAATCCTGATCACAATGTTTTCTTGCAGAAAATTAAATTTAAACATAATTAATTTCATGTAGGCATTGTTGATTCATGTAGCTAAGCATACCTTGTGTACACATATTTCTTTGTGCATTGAGACTCAGCCCATTAATTCACAAGCCTATTTCCTTTTCAGTTTTGGTCTGACCCCCAATTACATCGTTTTTGTGGAGACACCAGTCAAAATTAACTTGTTCAAGTTCCTTTCTTCATGGAGTCTTTGGGGAGCCAACTACATGGACTGTTTTGAGTCCAATGAAACCATGGGGGTAAGTCTGATCTATTTATCACATTGCTGATGCTGAAGAAGGTGTTTCATAATGTACACTTCTCTCCTTTCTAAATGCATCAAAATAGTTTCTTTACTTTTCAAGGTTTGGCTTCATATTGCTGACAAAAAAAGAAGAAAGTACCTTAATAATAAATATAGAACCTCTTCCTTCAACCTCTTCCATCACATCAACACCTATGAAGACAGTGGGTTTCTGATTGTGGACCTCTGTTGCTGGAAAGGGTAAGAGAGGATATTGGGTAAATGTTCCATCTCCAGCAGCTTCTGGACCATAAGGGGTTCTTGGAGAGATGTTGGTTTCAATGTTCAACCCAAATCACATCTCACAAAGCAAGAGATATGCAGAAGTCACAAGGTATAATTGAAAAAGCAGTATGGAGTTTAAGTAATTAGAAATACACACCAGGGGTCAGTGACTGAAGACAAACTAGGTCCATGTATCAGACCTAAAAATAAAAGGTTCTGTGACCTGAGACATGAACTTAAACTTTCTTAAACCCAACAAGATCTCTAAGGAGCCCTGAACCCTACTCACTCTGAGATTGGGAGAAAGAAACACTTTTTTTTTTTTCAAATTAGCCAAATTACTAAAAACATAATAGCTCCTAAAGACACAAATATAGTGTTGACAGAGAAGCAGAATAGAAAGTATTCGAGGCTGCTGCTTTTAAAACATAACCACAAGACAGGTTTCTCTTTTTTCACCCAGCATGGGCTAGAGGAAAGGCCTCTAATACACCTGTGTCATTAGCAGTGGTGTTGTGAATGAAGAACGTGCGCTTTTAAGAGTCAGGAATCATCTCTCTAAAATTATTTATAACTGTGTTCATGATTGACTTCCTGTCTTGCAGATTTGAATTCGTCTATAATTACTTATATTTAGCTAATTTACGTGAGAACTGGGAAGAGGTAAAAAAAAATGCCAGAAAGGCTCCTCAACCAGAAGTTAGAAGATATGTACTGCCTTTGAATATCGACAAGGTAACCTTCTTCCCCACAGATTTCAGATATAACCAGGATGCTTCATCTCTCTAACAAATGTTGTCTGGCTTCATGTTTATATATATGGTATTGAAATTTCAGATCTGGAAAGAACTTTAAAAGTAAACTGATTAAGCTCCCCTCATTTTTCAAACAAGGAAACTGAAGCTCAGAAAAGTGATCTGACTTAGCACAAGCCAACTGCAGCACAGCCAGGACAAAAACCAGGTTCCGTGATTCTAAATCTGCTGCTCTTTCAGTTACAAAATCCTTTTAAAAATATACTGTCTCAGTGAATAGTGGAGACCTGTTGGTATCTAGGATCCTTTGTCAACAGCATACTTGAAATAATTTGAAATTTTGGAGCAATGAAGTATCAAAAAATACCTTTATAGGGTAATCAGTGAATTATTTTGGTTTTCTATTAATGTGAAAATATCACTAGAGGACAAAAATCATTAATAGCATTAGACTGCTGTAGGGAAGTTCAAACTTATCCTCTGAAGGTTTGGTAACTGAAACAAACTGATAATAGATTAGCAAGAGAACAGGCATGCAATTTTTTTTAAATATCTTAATTTTTTAGTTGTAGTTGGACACAATACATTTATTTTATTTATTTATTTTTATGTGGTGCTGAGGATCGAACCCAGGGCCTCGCACGTGCTAGACAAGTGCTCTACCGCTTAGCCACAATCCCAGCCCCTGCAGGCATGCAAATTTATTAATTTGTATGTACATGCTCTATAAAATATGAAATTCAAAGCAGGTCCTGGTGGTTGAGATTCAAAAACCCTCTTCATAGTAGAGAGGAAGTGGGGGGCTATAGGCATGTGTGGAGAAGAAAAAACGATTTTTAGGGGAAATGATTGAGACTCTAGGACAGACAATGGCCAGAAACAAAGTTCTTCTAGGTCCCAGGTCTGGTATTTGATTTTCAGTTTTTCTGTGATACTAGTTTAATCTTCCCGGTGAAACGGAATTTCACCGAGAAGATTTAAGGCAATTGCTTTCCTCTTTGCTGGATTGGGTCTTTAGGTAGAGAAGAGAACTTTGCCCTGCATTTGCAGCTTCCCAGAAGCTCTGTTTGAAGACTGCAGTGGCATATTTTGGTATGTTGTTTTCTGAGCCCCAACACAGTCATCTCTTTTTCTTCCCTGTATTCACTACCTATCTTTTTAGAATAATCTGAGTTATAACCAGAATTTTTAATGTGAAAAAAGGTAAATTCATAAAAAATATAACTTTCATGTATAAATACATGAACATACATTCTCCTTTATGTCTATGTGCTTTCTAGTTGCACAAAAGGAGTTGAGGCAGCTGTGTGAAAGGTAAATCTTTGAACCAAAGGCTTATATCAGATGTAGTGGAAAAGAAACCCAATTTAGAACCAGATGCTACTGCTCTTAAGCAGGCTTAAAAGCTCTTTAAGGAATAAGAACGTGCAAGAGGTTAAGGTTAGACACTACTGTAGGCAAAAGAGTTTCTACAAAGTCAAGGAGGAGTTTAAAAAGCAAGACCTAATATGAAAATGTTACATGGTCTCTGGAGCTGGTTCATTAGGAGCCTAAGGGAGAGGGTATCAGCCATAGATATCAGAAAGATGGGCTGGAGTGACAGTATAAGGGGCTTTATAAGCCTTTTGATGATTTTTAAATGAAAAGGGGCAGTTGAAATTTTGTTTTGTTTTGTTTTGTTTTTGTTTGCTACCAGAGATTGAACCCAGGAGTGCTTAACCATTGAGTCACATCAGCAGCCTTTTTTGTATTTCTTTATTTTGAGACAGGGTCCTGCAAAATTGCTTAGAGCCTCATTAAGTTGCTGAGGCTGGCTTTGAACTTATGACCTTCCTGCCTCAGACTCCTGAGCTGCTGGGGTTACAGGTGTGCACCACCATGCCTGGCCCCATTGTTGTATTTTAAATGTTAGGGATGCATATGACATGACGGGGTGTATGTTTCCTAAAGGTCCCCCTGGCACATCATGGAGCACAGATGTGACAGTGGAGAGACTAGCATAAATACAATGGAGCACATAAGAGACAATGAATACCTGAATAAAAGAAATGGAAACTGAGAGACAAAGGAAAGTATAAAGTTGAGAAATATGTAGGAAGTGGAATCCACAAGAGTTAATATCAAGTTATATGTGAAGGAATTTGGAATAACTTTCAGATTTCTTCCCAGAGCAATTGGATGAATGATGGTACAATTCACTGAATTAGAAACATAGAAGTAGCAGGAGCTGGTTGCAAGAAATAGAGTAAGATTTATTTTATAATGCCTAGTTAGAAATACCTAATGGTCATCTCAGCAGAAATGCTCAATAGGCAATTGACATACAGAGATCCAGAGGTTCAGAACATGGATCCTGGTGGGCCACCAGTCAATCAACAAGGCACCCAAGCACTTTTGCTTTTCCCTGAGGAACCACAATTCCTGCATACAGCTGAATGCTCATAAACATTTATCAAAAGAATGGGCCAGTTGATTTGGGGAAACTTATTTTACTACTAATGGTAAAAATCACAATCATCTTTAAATTAAGAAAATAAAAGAAGATCATTTAAGTAGCCACATTCAAAAATGAGGAAAAAGGAGGGTTGGTCATCACTGGTTGACCATCATGAGTCATCATTAGTTTGCATTTTACTGGACAGGTAATGGGAAGACAGTGAAGGTTTTTGAACAGAAGAAAAGCTGATAGTTACTGGTATTGAAATGAAGATCAAATATATAACAATAGATGAGACTGCTACAAGGGAGGAAATCACACTTTAGAATAGGTTTTCTAAAAGAAACATAAAAAGCTTGTTTACTTTTAAAATAGGGAATTTGGTAGCTAGCAAACACCGAGAAGAAAAATAGCCAAACACAGTAGCTTAAGAAATAACCATATGCACAAAGTAGTAGAAAAAAAGATGCCAGAAAAAGAGCCACAAGAGAGCCCTAATTACCACTAAGAAAGGGAAATGCCAAATAGGAGAGGGCAGGAGAGGGGTTTAAGAGAACTATAAGCTACAGACAGATGGAAAAGAATGAAAACTATAAATGCTTGATTTGGTGATTTCCAAAGGAATAAAGCAAGAGAGGTAGACATCAAGTTTCAGGAGCAGCAGGTGGTTAGAATGTGGGAGCAGTACTGAGTCTACACTTTTAAAAGTTTGGTAATGAAAGGAAATACAAAAAGCCCATTAATTAAAAGGAGAGGTAACAACAGATCAAAGGAAGGAAGAGAGGCTGAGAGCATAAAATGAATGAAGTTTTTATCTAATAATTAAGATAATGGTGATATCTTTAAAATATATCTTTATTATTTTTGAAAAGCTGTAGGATAGAGTCTCCGTAGTAAGACTGCTGAGTCAAAGGGTAAAGGTATCTATGGGGATAAATGAAGTCACTGAAGGGAAGATCTGGTTTGTTGAGGAAGACAAAGTTGATATTACAGATTTCTTATAATAAAAAGCAAATTTAGTAATAGACTAAAAAGATACAACACTAAAATAAGTCAGCTTAAAACCATGTAAATAATAGGTTTGACAGACCTTTGTTCTTACTATACACAGGTAAATAAGTATATCAGCTATACACACTCTTCTCCCCAACATCACCACTAAGTGCCTTGAGATCCCATTTCACAACATCTACTTCCCTATTTGATCATCACTTCCTTCTCCTGAAAATCTTCCACTATTTACTCGTAATCCATAATCCATTTCTAGAAATTCCCTTTATCCTTTCCTCAGAATGTTCCCTCCACACTCTTTAACTAAAATCTGGCTTGTTCTCTAGGACACAAGAGCAACTTTTAGGGGTGGCACTTTCTCCTCTGCATAAAGAGAGCAGAGGAGAATAGGACAGCACTTGTTCCACTGGGCCTGAAGTTGAATTAGGTGTTCTTGTTCCTGTTGGCTGTTTGCATACCATTGTTTCCTCCATCCACTCTCAAAATCCCCATCATTTCAGCTATTCTGGTAGCCAAGTGACATGTACATAAACCCATACATACAATCCTCATTATTGTCGTCTTTGACTAGCTGCCACTTCCTCTACTTCCTGGCTCAGTGTCACTGTCTTCCCAATTCTATGCCTGTCCCTTAATTCTTGGTGATTTCAGTCTGCACACTGCAGCTGATTCTTCTGACAACCTGACCTCTTAGTTGCTTGACCTCTCCACTGATGTTATCTTTATCTCACCATTCACTCCCCAAAGTCGTGCTCTTGACCTTGCCATTGACTATGATTGTGTTCCATCTATGATCTGTTTCATGCAAGACATACTCATATCTTTTGTCTATTAATTTACTTGCCCTACTGCAACTTCTGCCATGAGCTTCCAATCCAGTGAACACAGTACTTTCTCATTATCACTCACTCCCTTAAAGGACTTGCCTTCCTCCTCACTCAAGTTGAATTCCATGGTCAATAATTATGACCAAGCCCTTAAATAGAATCTCATTTCTTTTGCTTCTTTCCTGTTTATCAAACTTATGTACCCAAATCACAACCCTAATTAAGTTGGAATATCCACCCACTCCATGTTTGTACATCACAGTACAAACTTAAATGCTGCAAACACACAATCACATTGAGTGTTCCAATTTTAAATGTATTACCACAAACCTGACTGCCACATTTCCCAACTTCACTTACTGTCTTATTTTGCTAGTTAAATATTCCACATCCTCCTCTGTTCAAACTTTTATCACCTCCCACCTCCCACCTCCACACTCAACTGTGGATGACGATTGTGCTTCCTATTCCTCTGAACAAAGAAATCAGAAAAGAACCATAGACTCTTGCTACCATATCTACCCACCAGCATCTGCACTCATATACTGAATTATCCATCTTCCTAACCAGAGCTAATCTCCCCATATCCCCTCACCCACTCAGGGACATGCTCCCCTCTCTCCTAGATCATCTCTTCCCTATGACTTCAATTGATCACTCCATCAAGCTCTTACAAAATCCTTCTCTTGACTACGTTTTCCCCAACCAGCTACCCACATGTTCCTCCTCTTGTAGGAGGCACCAGGATTCAATCCTCTATCCCCCTACCATCTATCTGTGTATTCAGTTCCTTTCAAAGACTAATGCTTTAAAGTATCCTACTTTTATATTTCCTACCTTTTCTTATACTTAAGGTTTTTAAAACCTATTTCCAACTCCACATCTCCATCTCCAGATTGGATATCCATTAGGCATCTCAGGATTATTAAGACAAGACTTGAACTTCTCATCTTCTCCCACCTACAGTAGTCATGACCTTTGTTGTGACAACACCAGCCTTTAATTGTTCAGGTCAGATGCCATGGTGTTAGGCTTGACAGCTCTCTTCCTTTGATATTCTCTCCATGAGGAAATCCCCTTGACTCCATCTCCCATGTCTCACGGACTCCAGTGCTACCAGCCTAGCTGGAACCATGGCTTTCTTTGGACTAGATTACTCTCAAGACAAACAGATTTTCCTGATACCTCTCTTGCATCTCCATTAATCCCAGGGTAAGATTCAACAGAATAGCCAAAGTTATTCTTTTAAAAATAAATCACAGCATGTTGCTCCTCTGCTCAGAAACTTCCAATGGCTTCCCATTACTCATTTATAGAGAAAGGCCAAGTCCTCATACCAACCTGTATGCCTCTACACAGTGTGGTCCCATCACTCATCTGCATACTCTTCTTTTTTCTCTCCCCCTTGCTCAGTCAGTTGCTGCACACTGGCCTCTTCGATGCTACTCAAGTACATTCAGGCCCTTCCCAGGCCTTGCACCATTTGTTTTCTCTGCTTGGATGCACTGCTAATTTCCTCATCTTCTAAGAGTTTTGTGTCAAATGCCACTTCAGCAAAGAGGCCTACCCTGACCACCTGTTAAAATTTCAGCCTCATGGAACCTTTATACTTCTGACCCTGCTTCTTCTACTCTTTGCACCCCACAGTCATGATATATTATGCACTTTACTTATTAAGTACATTTATTCATTTATTGTTAATCTTCTTTAAATAGGAGTTTCATGAGAGACAGGGACTTTACCCTCTGAAATATCCCAAATGCCTAGAATAGATTTTATAATCAAGTACTAAAAGCATATACACAAGTAAACATATAATTACATATTTGATGAAAGTATTAATAAATTAATATATTGTTAGAAAAAGCTCATGGTATTCATTGTTTTCATGAAATAATCTGAAATGTTTGCATGTAAGTGTTGGGGGGTACTCACACATATTTACATGATCTAAGAGCTCTCAAAAACCACGTGGGCCTCTTTCTTTCTTTCTTCTTTCTGCCCCCCTCCTTATGGCAACATAACCGCATGGAGTTTTTCATAAAACCAAAAGGTATCCTAACTATAAAATAGATAAATACTCTTTCATCCCACAGGCAGTCGACATCTTTGCCGGTCTGCAGAAAATATAATTTACTTATTTATCCATGTTTTTTTTTGCAGAGGTCCTTCCTTGGAGTCTTAAATTTTCTTTGAAGGCAGGCTCATTCTACAAAATGAGAATAATTCTACAAAATATTGAGGGCCTATGAGGTTCTGTGACTTCTCCAGCGGCCCCTGGCTGGTGCCTGGCACAAGCACAACTGCTTGCCCACACAGTCCAGGCTCCCTCATCTAGTTTTCTACATTGCTCTTTCCTGAACATTGACCTGAGGAAAAAAAACAGGAGATAAAACGGAAGTCTGCACATATGGCTGTTCCAGAGTTGCTTCCTGCTCACTGAGGTTTCTGTTATCTTCTTTCTCAGGCTGACACAGGCAAGAATTTGATCACACTCCCCAACACAACAGCCACAGCGATTCTGTGCAGCGATGAGACCATCTGGCTGGAACCTGAGGTTCTCTTCTCAGGGCCTCGCCAAGGTAAGTTGATCTCGAGAACCCCTCACTCAGAAAAGAGCAAATGTTCAGCTCAGAGAGATGAACTCAGTGTTCCTAAGTGTGTGCTCTATTTTGTAGCATTTGAGTTTCCTCAGATCAATTACCAGAAGTACGGTGGGAAACCTTATACGTACGCCTATGGACTTGGCTTGAATCACTTTGTTCCAGACAGGGTAATTAATGCATCTTTCTAATATTGGAACAGTGAGTTGAGTCATATGCTAGGCAAATAAAGCATATTGACGGATTGATCAGTTGATTTTTCTTTCTTACAAGCAGCTCTGTAAGCTGAACGTCAAAACTAAAGAAATTTGGGTATGGCAAGAGCCAGATTCCTATCCATCAGAACCCATCTTTGTTTCTCACCCAGAGGCCTTGGAAGAAGATGATGGTAATGAAAGAAATGAATATATCTGAACCCTCTTCTGATCAGAGTTCTGGGAGTTAAGTCGTTATGAGAAGAGTTAGGTTGATTATTCTCTAATGTTTAAAAATGATCCTGATACTAGGAAGGGACAATCCTGAAGAATTTAAACATAATCACACATGAATTTCATCTCATGATCAAATCTTGTTGATTACTAATGGAAAAATGCTGAAGCATTATTTGGTATCTTGTTTGGGGCATCAGTGTCTGCTCTAGATGCAGGAAAGGGGAAGAAAGGAGCCAGGCAGCAGGAATTCCATCTGGGTATTCACTCCCTCCTCACCAAGATACATTTCTGAAAAGAAATTGTGTTCTAGGAAGGGAAGCAGAGTTTTCCAGCAGATAAAGAGAATGAGAGTACAGCTCTATGACTCTAGTTTGGATTTTTCTTTTAGTAAACTGGGGCTAGAAAAGATCTAGCCACCGCCTATAAAAGAGCAACTCCATTACCAAGTATTAGTCTTAGTTAGCCATTAATTAGCAAGGACAGAGAGATAGATAACGCTCTCTGGAATTAAAATATGGGAAATCACAAAGAAATTACATAAATAATTGTTGAGCCATTTCATGCTAAATAATTATATATATGTAATATATAATATTCTATATATACAAATATATATGTCCCATTCAGTCAAAAGTACAAAAAGGCTTATTCTCCTTTTGTTGGAAGGAAGTCAGCATCCACATAGATGTTGAGAATTATGGCTATAATATACCTTATTGCTTTTAGTCTTTTAATATGTTCTTCACTTGATCATTACAATTTTTCTCAGTCCACTCATTTAATAAGTACTTAATGAGCACTTACTATGATCTAGTCATTGTAGTAGGATATTGGGAAATAGCTGTGAGCAAGACAGACATGATCACTCCCTTCTTGGAGCTTATAATTCAAGAAGGAAAAGTTTTAAAGACCCCTTCAGGTGGTCAGAGAAGCAAGTGGTAAAAGAAAACAAAAAGTATGATTTTCTTTGTCAGTATAATACCTCTGATTTTATTTCAATTACATGTAATCCATGGTCCTAGGTTCTTTTAAATTTAAAACTGCCTTATGCACTTCTGATTAACAGGTGTAGTTCTGAGTGTGGTGGTGAGCCCCGGGGCAGGACAAAAGCCTGCATACCTCCTGATTCTGAATGCCAAGGATTTGAGTGAAGTTGCCAGGGCTGAAGTGGAGATTAACATCCCTGTTACCTTTCACGGACTGTTCAAAAAATCCTGAGCATATTCTAGCAAGATGTGTTTATGGTGACAAAACTAAGAAAACTAGCTTCAGTTCTGCAATCAAATTTGTTCAATTTTAGCCTGCTATATGTTGTGTTTTTAACTTGCACATGCACATAATTGTTCAATGTCTTATAGAAGATTTCTGACCAATCTCTTTTTAAAAAAGTATTTTCTTGATAAAATAGACCATAACTGAAAAATTCTTTTAATATTTAGCAATCAAATAAGACATTAATGTGGACTTATTAAACTGATTTTTGTTCCTATATAAAAGATAATTTTAGCTATCTGCTCTAATGTTGTTTTTTTAACATTTAAAACCCAAAGTCTTCTACATACCTTATTTGTATGTAGCTTTGCTGAGTCAAGGCAAAAAGGCTTAATTACTAAAGTCAAACCAAACTTTCCAGGGACTATCATTTAAGAGTACATAGCAATTGCTTTGCATAAATGTAACTGCTTAAAGATCCTTAATGAACTTTAATCTCTGTGTTCAATTTTTTTTTCAATTCCATGCTTAATTCCATTAAATATTGGCAGTTGCTACCACTTCTGATTTTGCAATGAAAAAACCTATGTCTCAGTGACTGCAACCTCTCAATCAAATAACATCTCAGAGATTAAGTTATATATTTCAAGCTTATTTATGTCAACACAAATACATTTAGTAGTGACTAATTTTTTTTAAATCAGCATAAAATACAAATATCAAGTTAAAATCTGAGTGTGGGATAATATTGAGGGATATATTATGTTGCCTCTTCTTTTTCATTATATTTAAGCACTGTGCAATCATCTGATGGAAGGCAGAGAAAAAAATTAACTAACTTTCAAGTATTAACACATTTTAAGCACTTTGTATTTAAGCACTTTGTATTGCTCTCTTCTGTGCTATAGATCACAAGAAAAAATAGATAGTGGCAAGCAAATTATATTCTATATCTTAATCCTTGTATCTATTTTATGCCCACAAGCATTACATATTATCATATTTAAAATGATCAGCATCATGCTTGACTAGGTAAAAAATAGCTTGAAGGAACAGATTTACCAGGGCACTTCAGTCATCCACTTGATTTCTTTATTTAGATAAGATGAAAACTCATTTTTTAAATTTTAAATACCTATTGAAATATACTTCTCAAAGCAAATCTAAATATAGAAATAAAATTTATAAAGTAAAATTGCATAGTGCTCCTCTAAATTCAGTTACTATTAAGATTTGAGTTCTGGTCTTTTCATCTTTTTATCCCTACAGATTTTTAATATAATTATTATTTGTCTGTGGATAATTTAGAAAGAAATAAAAATATCAAAAAAAGAAAAGGGAAAATGCCAGAGAATTATGTAGAGCATTCACGGTAAATAAACATCAATCCAGTGCTTTGTGCCCCTAGACAGCACATGAATAGAATTTCACAAAGAAGGGTATTTCTCTATTTATTTAAAAATGCAAAAAATAAATACTAAAAAATTGCTAAGTTTTAGACTTCAAGTCTGAATTTAAGAGAATTCCTAAAACTGTCACTTACTTCACTTGCCAATCACTCACTCCTTGGCTTTTTCCCATTCATTCTCCATGAAGCAAGAGTCACAATTCAGGGTATCCACATCTCCCCCTATAGTAAGATCCCCTTCTGAGATGACTACAGTATGAAGGAGGGACAGAGGCAGATTTGACTAAAGTATCATTCTATCAAGAGCATTTCACTAAAGTTGGAATTCTCCATCACCATCGTTGCTAATATTGTAGCAAGAGAGCTTAGGATCTGCTTTATAAATCCAAAGATGGAATGTGAGCTTTAAAAACTTCAATCAGAATGAGGAAGATTTAAGTCAAGCAGAAAAGGTTAACTTATAAATTCAAACTGAATAAATTAAGGAAACTTCTTTCAAAGAAAATGACATCCATCTGGGTGATTGAGAGAACTATGTCCCATATAAAAACAAATAAATCTGTTTTAAGGGAAAAAAGTTCAACTGAATTAATGTAAATCAACCTGCTAATAAATAGCTATTTTTAAAATAACAAGCTATTTAGAGTCTTATAGCTAAGGGGAAAAAGAATAAAACTTTGGCATAATTAATCAAAAGGTAATTTAACTGATAACTACCTCATGGCAAACAATATAGACAGAGTCTCTGTACTATGTTCTAAAGGAGAAAATACCAACTGACATCAAAGGGAAACTATCTTCCAAAAATTCTGTGTCAGTATGACTTCATCAGCCCACAGTCCAGTTTAAGAATAAAATGTTTTCTTCTTTCAGCCTGAGAGGAAGAGTGTAGGCACATCTCCCAAGGAACACCAGATCTGCTAAATCTCTGTCTCAATGGGAAAATAAACTCTGAAAAACAGGATAAAAGAAGCTCACACTACTGTGTACTAAGCACTTTTGTTCTTATTGCTACATTCAACATGGTGCTGTCTTCACTATTTTAAATATGAGACAGAGCTGGGTATGGTGGTTCACACTTGTAATCCTAGTGACTCTGAAGGCTGAAGCAGGAGGATCACAAGTTCAAAGCCAGCCTCAACAACTTAGTGAAACCCTAAGCAACTTAGTGAGACTCTGTCTCAAAATAAAATTAAAAAGGGTTGTGAATGTGGCTTAGTGGTTAAAGTGGTTAAGCATCCCTGAGGTTTAATCCCCAGTTAAAAAAAAAATGAGAAAGAAATGCCAAGTTACTTTCCTAAAGAGTAATAAAACTTAGACTGAACTGTATGTTGAAATGAAAAGCTTTCTGCCTGAAAATTTGGTTTCTGATGCCACTGAAATATTCCTAATGATTTCAATTTTCTCTTCAAATAAAACCATGATCATTCTACTAAGTAATCAAGTCTGAGCATAAATAAAATTTGTGATGATTTGCTAACTCCTACCAGTTATTATTGGTTCAAAATATTTCTTGAAAAATAGTTACCATGTTCCAAGTACTTATTATGCTTGGGATTCCACCATTTCATCTCTATAGAGCCCTCCCTGTGTGTGGGCTTGGTAATCCTATTTTGCAGAAGAGAAAAATGAAACTCAACAAAATTAAATAACTTGGCCAAGTTTTCACACAGAACTGAGATCCCTACTCCAAATACCATCTGTCTCTGTTGGATACTGTGAAAAACTAGCTAAGGTAATTCACAGCTTCTGCCTTCCAGCACTACCTTCCTATTGATGCCATTTTAAGAGGTTGGGTATATGGTTTGGACATGAGTTGTCTCCTCAAACTTCTGTATTAATGCAGGAGATGAAATGATTAAATTATGAGACATATAACCCATTCAGTGGATTAATACATTTGAGGAATCAGTATTTGAATCGATTTCTGGGTGGTAACTGTAGGCAAGTGCAGTGTGTGGAAAAAATGAGGATTACTGGGAAAGTGGCCTTGGGGATTAAATATTTCGTTCCTGGCTCCTTGCACTCTCTCTGCTTCCTGGATGTCATGAGCTGAGCAAATTTCCATGGACACATCCTTCCACCATGATGTTCTGCCTCACCTCAGGCCATTGACCAAACCTTTGAACCCCTAAATTGTCCTTGTCAGGTGTCTTGCTCACACTGACAAAAGACTAACAACACTGGGTTTTTCAAAGTAGCTGTGAAAATGCAAGTGCCATGCAAAAATCAATATGGAAAGGCTGGAGATGTAGCTCAGTGGTAGATACCATGTCTGGTATGACAAGGCCCTAGGTTCAATCCCAATACCACAAAAAAAACCCCCACAAACACAAACACAAAACAGAGTCCCCCAATTTGTTTCCAAAGGAGCAGCAAGGAAGAGAGTATTCAGTGTGAAGTTATAACACCATATTGGCCCCATGAAACCCTCCTGAAACTCACAAAAGCAAATCCTCTGAAAATTGTTGGTCCAAGAAAATTGAATTCAGTAATTGATAAGTATAACTGCCATAAAATATACCAAAAGCTATATGACTTAACATAATTAAATGAATTATATCACAGTTTTAGAGGCAAGACATCTGAAGTCAGGGTGTCAGTAGGGCCATATTTCCTCTGAAACCTGTACAGGAAGCCTTTCATGCCTTTTCCTTGCTTCTGGTGGCCCTATGTGTTCTTTGGCCTGTGGCAGAAAAACTCTGATCCTCTGTCTTCAGACAGCATTCTCCCTGTGTGTCTTCTCAATGTCTTCCCTCTGTGCATGTGTATCTCAGTGTCCACAATTCCCCTTTGATAAGAGCACTAGTCATACTGGGTTAGTGCCTACCTCAAGACATCATTTTAACTTGATTTTTTTATACAGACCCTGTTTCCAAATAAGATCATGTTCTGAGGTACTAGGTGTTAAGTCTTCAACATAATTGAAGATACAATTTTATTCACAGCAACAAGAATTAAGGAAAACATTGGCCTGGCATTGGAGAAAAGAAAAAAATGTGAAAATTATAGCAAAACTTTGCCAAGAAATTTTTTTAAAAATCACAAACAAAAAGACACCTCTAAGAACCAGTGCCCTTGAACATTAGAGGCATAAATCTGCTCTGTATAATGATAATAAATCTTAGCTTCCCTTGCAGCTATGTGTAACTTCTAAACAATGAGATGTAAGCACAAGCATGAAATTGGGACTTCTCCTTAACAGTATCCTCCCCTGCCTCTCTTTCATGCTAGCTGGAGTGAGGATGTGGTAGAACTTTCAACACTGCAGATAAAGACAAAAGGCCAAGCTGGAGGAGCAACAGGATGGAAAATGAGTGTGTATAATGCTGGAATCCAAAGGTGACAAAAACTATACATGAAAAACAACATTACAATCTAATTGGCATAGTGCTATGAAATGTTTCAATGAAATACTATGGAGGGAAACCTACCAACACATTAAAAGAATGGGCAACTTCTAGAAGAAAACATAGACTCAACACTCCCAACATATTGATGCCGGTACCAACTTCCTTAACAAGACCCCTACAGCTCAAGAAATAAAATCAAGAATCAATAAATGATGTGAAATTAAAAAGCTTCTGCACAGCAAAGATAACAAGAGCATAAAAGATCTTTGCAAAATACTCCTCTGACAGAGGATTAATATCCAGAATACATAAAGAACTCAAAAAACTTAACACACACACCAAAAAAAAACCACCCAATCAATAAATGAGCAAACAATTAAACAGATATTTCTTAAAAGTAGAAATCCAAATGGCCAACAAATATATTAATAAAATGGTCAGCATCCCTAGCAGCCAGGGACATGCACATCAGATTTCACTGAGATTTCATCTCACTCAAGTCAAAATGGCAACCATTGAGAATACAAATAATAATAAATGCTGGCAATAATGTTGGGAGGGAAAGGTACACTCATACATCATACACTGCAAATTAACCAACCACTCTGGAAAGCAATATAGAGATTCCTCAAAAGTCTAGGAAGGGAAACACAATGTGTCTCAGTTATCTACTCCTTAGTATTTATCCTAAAGAAACAAAATCAGTATACTCTGGTGATACAGGTACATCAATGTTT